ATTTATGTATTTGTTGTTGTCAATCTAGTGCAGGTCTAACGAGGACAAAATATCAAGTAAAACGATGAAAGTTACTAAAATTGAATTTTAACTTGCAGCGAATGAGATGAGATCATCCTTAAAACTGTCAAGGTTGCAGGTTTTCAAGTTTCTGGTAGCTCAATATCTTGGCAACATATGTCCATCCATCCATCCATCCATCCATCCATCCATCCATCCATCCATCCATCCATCCATCCATCCATCCATCCATCCATAAATACAGCCATCAATACATTCATCCAACCATCATCATATTTTCCCCACTTCTTTCTTTYAGGGTCACTGGTGCCCATGTTTAGCAGTCACTGTGAGAGGCGGGGTACAYMCTGGACAGGTCGCAAGTCCATCAGGGTCACATCGAKACAAAAGAGACAAACAACCATTCACTCTCTCACTCACACCTAGGGACAATTTAGAGTTACCAATTAACCTGTTTTTTTCTTGTCAGTGGGAAAAAACCTGAGTACCTGGAGAAAACCCACACATAAACAGAGAGARCATACAAACTCTACCCAGAAAGGTTCCCAGGCTGGGATTTGATCTGGCAACCTTCTCGCTGAGAGGCAACAGCTGACATGCATAGGGAGGCCACAGATTAGATCAGAAAAGATTTAATTTTGTAATGATTCTAGAAATCTTTTCAGTACAAGTAAAGATTTTTTTTTGTAAAAAACAAAACAAAAAAAAAACAAAGCTGCCAATTACTTAAACCATTTTCTTTATGCATTTGTAGAAAAGCTGACATTTGAAGAAATACATGAGTGGAACAAAGAGACTTGTTGARCTGCCATACAGCATTCTGTCTTGGGAAACCAGTGGGCAGCTGGAAAAAGGAGATACAGGGGAGCTCTCTAGTCTTTGGGAGGTTAAATGAGCACAAAGCTGTGTCTACCGATAGTACTTCTATAGCTGCTACTGTTTTGGCAGCTGTTATTCTGTGCCTTTGTGCCTCTCTGCAGCACTTGACCATTATGTTCAGCTTCATCTCAAGGTCTTTGTTGTTACCTGGGCCTCAGTTTCTGCTTATCTTCCTCCCGTCCTCTCCTCCTTTCTTGTTTCTATATTTCCATCCTCTCGTGTCCCATCTATCTTTCTTCTGCACTCCTCGCTAACACCCTAAGCGTTGGTTGTGAGCCTTACAAAGTTATGCCTGTTAAGAGTTTTCCCTGCAGATTGAAGTCTGTCGTAGGTGTCTCGAGTGCTCAGAATGGAATAACATTTATTGACATATAATCTCCCCTGGGTTGCAGTGTGGTTATAATTGATGGAGACATTTTTTTCTTCTTTTGAACTGTTTTGTTTTTGCACTCGTGATTTTATTGTGTGTCTGTGCATTCTTTACTTGCATTAGGGGAAAAAAAGATCATAAACCATCAAACTGTAGTCGGTGCATCTCAGTCATTTTTTATTGTGCAGTTCCTTAGGATTTCCTGCCACTGCTGTCCAGATAAGTTGAACAATCTATCACATTAATCTGTAATTAAAACACAGAAACCAAACCTTTTGTATGGCTAATTAGCATAGGCATTTTCAACAAGAATAACACAGCAAAGATTAAACAACTGAATCTTAAAATTTAAGAAACAGAACGATGAATTTGTAGCATAGTCTTTTTCTCAGTTACTGTCACCTTTGTTGTCGTCTGAATGCTCTGTATCCATGTTAATGTTTTTTTTTTGAGCACCGATAAAATACATTCCAAGAATTTCTTGAAGAACTGTGTCAGTCATTACACCAAACACAGACACGGGCAAAAACACTGTTGTCTGCCTTTGCCTTTTGGCGGTAGATGATAACAGGATGCAATCAGACAGGTTGCTGGCATATGTAGAGGTGACCGTTTCTTTCTGGCCAGCAAGGCACGCTGGAAAGCCGAAAGCAAATGGGCAGAAGCTCCAGACAGTGCTAATCACAATTTTGCTGTTTCCATCCTCCAGGCTTTGGAGGTAAAGTCCGTGGGAAACAGACATTGTGCRTTTTTAAAAAAATAATTTATATTTTCTATTGCTCTGAATTTTTTTCCACACCATTAGTGCTTCATRCTGAGCTGTTCATCCATATCTACTGATACAGTACAGCGCTAAGCACCAGCTGCCACAAACACCACTTTCTACAGTAAATGTGAACATAGGCAAATTACAGGACCCAAACGATGTGAGTGGTGTTGCACTGTGTGGTTTTTATTGGATATGCTAGTGGTGAATGGAGGGTTGGCACTTACTGTAGTTTATAAGATGTCCCACTTTTAGGAACTCAGGAGGGACACAAAACATAAAAAACAAAAAGACAGATTTTTCTAAGCCGATTTGTAGATTAGATGGTAATTTGCACAACATTCTCAAAAAATGTGACTAAAACAATTGTCCCAATCTGACGACAGCAGCTTGGATATCTATTCCTTCAGACAAGTTCTTTATCCAGTCCATCCAGTCACTGGTTACAATTCAAAGCTTATATTGCCAAACATTTTGTGTTTTCAGCTTTTAATTGTTGCCGTCATCCCAACAATCCTTTTTGTAGCTGAATAAAAACTATTTTTCCAAAAAAAATAAAAATAAAAAATTTGCTCGAATGTATCATTCTAGGCCATTTCTAGACTGGTGTCATGCAGAGCTTTTAAAAAGCATCATGTTTTTTATATATTTCATTTGCACTTGCAGGCATCTTACTCAGAAAAAATACATAAACTTAGATTGACAAAGCTATTGTAAACAAGATTAGAAAAATTAAAACAAACCCTGAAGAAAATTCCCAATTTTGGGA